GAGGGGGGGAGAGTTGCTCAGAAGAAAGTGTCGAGCAGATCCGAGCGGCGATGTAATGCCGGAGAGCTATGCCTAATAGAAATGTTCATATTTCAGCAAAGCAACATGGCGCCCCAGTCCCCACGAAGCCTGCACTGTGCAGCCCGCTTCCCTTCTGCCTCTTCTCGCTTGCCTTGTGCCTGGCAGCAGTGTCTGGCCTGCCTGCCTGTCTACCCTGTCCCCCAGCCTGCCGCTGCTTGCACTGGGATTCCTCCTGTACGGTTAACTGTTCCAAGGCTGGGCTTCCACAGGCACCAGGAATGATGGACCTGCCTCCCAACACCACTGTACTGTAAGTCGCTGTACTTGCTTATCGATCAGATGATGTGATTCTTGTTTTGTCATTGTTTTCGTTTTGCAAAAGCTGTGCCAATTTAAAGGTTGCCCCTCTCCCGGAAAATATAGAACTTTATCCTTAACTTCCGAAAAAGTAAGTGACAATTTGACATTGTAGAAAGTACATTAACCACCCCGCTTCAGTTTATTTCATTACATGACCTTCTGAGATGCCACACTTTATCAAAGCCTTCAGGATTTTAAAGTCCCAGCACCGCCGTCTAGTGTGGCCAAAGGTTTAGCCTGATGCCCAGGCACACTTTCGCCATTCAGTTCGACTCCTGGTGCACCTATTGAGGTGAACCCTTCCCTCGACTGTCCAGCAGTTTTCCCTTTCTCTCTGGCGAATCTTAAATAAAAATAGCTGGGCATGTTTGAAGAAGAGCGGAACATTTCGACGGCGCCTGCATAAGCTTTTGTTTGCCTCTGAAGACTTGGCCGGCAACCGTGAAGACGTTCAGAAATGTTCACAAAGTTGCTCATGGTTTTAACAAGGCTTATAGAAGCTCAGCGAAAGTGAAGTTTACAGTGGGGAGCTGGAAATCTGCATTCAGTAGGGATCAATAGTGTGTGACTCATCATGTTTGGCTTTGTGTGTTTTAAAAGCTTTATCAAAATTGTTTTCGAGGAGGAAGCTGAGCGAAATTTGAGGACAGCATTTAATTCCAAAAATGTCCTTTTTTCTCTCTGTATAAAGTAGGCTGTGGGGAAGGAGGGGGTGGGGATGATACAGACACAACCAGTTTGGGAAACGAAGTGTCATATTCCGTTTTCCTGTATTAGAGCTGGAATGTCTCAACGTAATGAGGAAAGAACTTGAAATGTCATAAGTAGATTAAAATTTTACACAAAGCATCCGTCCAAACCTAAGATGGTAATTCTAAATTGCCTTCAATCCAGTTTGTATGCCTGGATCGACCACTCGGTTTTGTTAATTATTAGAGATAACAAGGTGCAGAGCTGGATGAACACAGCAGGCCAAGCAGCATCAGAGGAGCAGGAAGGCTGACGTTTCGGGCCTAGACCCTTCTTCAGAAATGATTATTATCCCGTTTTGGAGCTGCTGTTTTGAGATACGACTTGGGGAATTTTTCACTGATTAGGGCCCGCTGCATGCTCGTGAGGAGCACTTTATTTCACTGTTTTCCGTAGCGACAAACTGGAGGAGTAAAAAGAAACAAATGAGCATTATTTACAGCAGAAATCACTAGGAGAACTGGATCGATCCAGGTGGAATGTTTAACACGCACGAAGTAATGCCATGCAAGCAGCAGGGTTTCAGTATACTGTTGGCTGTGTAAAATTCTGGAATTTGTCCTCCCTATAATGGATTTCTCCTTCTCTGGTCCGGGATGACGTTGTATATTTGGTGACTAGAGATAGGAAGTATTGGTTACAAATCTGATGCTGGATGGAGGGGTTGGGGGCAAAGTGAGGTAATATATGGCCTGGTGTAGAAGTGGATTGGCTCGGGAATGACTTTGGCCTATTTTCCTTTTTTCAAACATACTCAGCAAGGTTGAGCGGCAGAATCCTATTTAGCTTTTTTGTCTTGTTGAGAATTGCTGAGGATTTGACCTAAGGAACAACTTTTTCACGCAGGGGGTGGTGCGTGTATGGAATGAGCTGCCAGAGGAAGCAGGGGAGGCTGATACAATTATAACATTTAGAAGGCATCTGGATAGGTACATGAATAGGAAGGGCTTAGAAGGATATGAGCCAAATGCTGCTAAATGAGATTAGATTAATTTAGGATATAGAATCATCGAATCCCTACAGTGTAGAAACAGGCCCTTCGGCCCAACAAGTCCACACTGACCCTTGGAGCATCCCACCCAGACCTATCCCCCTATAACCTGCCTAATCTACACATGCCTGAACACTATAGGCAATTTAGCCTGGCCAATCCACCGAGCCTGCACATCTTTGGACTATGGGAGGAAACCAGAGCACCCGGAGGAAACCCAGGCAGACACGGGGAGAATGTGCAGACTCAACACAGACTGTCGCCCGAGGGTGGAATCAAACCCGGGTCCCTGGCTCTGTGAGACTGCAGTGCTAACCATTGAGCCACCATGCCACCCCTTAATATCTGGTTGTGTGGACAAGTTGGACCTAAGGGTCTGTTTCCATGCTGTATGGCTTTATCATTATTTGTCCAACCCTACAGTGCGCATTTTGTAATGGATACATTTCTGGTGAGAACTATGCAAACATTACTTTGAAGATTTTTAGATAATCAACAAATCTCTGAAACAGCAGATAATGTTTCCTCTCCATACTTGGTTTGTGTTTGTATTTGTTTTCAACCCCAATTTCATGCACTCCTCCATTGGTGGACATGCCTTCAGCTGCTGAGAAGCTAAGCTCAAGAATTCCTCTTTCTTAAACCTTTTCACCTCTCTCCTCCTTTAAGTCATTCACTAAAAGCTACCTTATAGCCACCTGCTTCAATATGTTTTCACCATGTGGCTCAGTGTCAATGCCTATGTTCCTGTGAAGAATTTTGGATGTAATACCACACGTATGGTACAATATTGTTGTTGTGCTGATACCATATTGGAGTAGATCACTACAGTGTTACATGCAATGGGATAGATTTATAAGGATTGTTCCAGGGATGAGAATCTTTAGACGATAGACTGGAAAGGTTTGGGGCTGTTCTCCTTGAAGAGAAGAAGGTCAAAATGAGATCTGATGGGGAGAAAATTACTGCAGATTCTGGAAGCTGTACCAAAAACAAAAAAATGCTGGAAATCACAGTGGGTCAGGCAGCATTCGTGGAGAGAGAGCAAGCTAACATTTTAAATCTAGATGACTTATCATCAGAACTGATACAAAGTGTGAAATTGCTCTTTCTCATAAAAGGATCAAGAACGAGATGGCACACATTTAAACTGATTTGCACAAGAAGCCAATACAATGTGAGGGAAAAACTTTCTCACACAACCGGTCGTTCAGGTCTTGAATGCACATCCTGGAAGTGAAGATTCAATTAAGGCATTCAAGGGGGCATTGTTTCTATTTAAATAATCATCCAATGTACAAGGGCATGGGGAAAAGGTAGGAGAATCGCACTAGTTCATGATGCTCATTTGCAGAGTCAGTGCAGACATGACAGGCTGCCTGGCCTCCTTTTGCGCTGTAACCCTTGTGTGATTCTGTGAAATGGTTGCCATCACAATCTTTCTGATGGTGAAAAACGTGTTCAACCCTCTGACTGGAAGGAAAGTGTGCAGCTATGATGGAAATTCTCTCACCAGCCATGCTGCATGACAGGGACAGTGGGTGATGCAGGAGTGAGGTCACCTTCAATTGTGAATCAATGAAATGCCTTAGCCACTGTGCAATATACGTATACCATGGTGCAAACAGAGGAACATATTCAATACTGAAAGAATTAAAAAGGGGCCGAGGCTGGGGAAAAATAACAGCACACGTGTGTACAAATGGTTGGTTTGCTCCTGGACCAATAAGACATAAAGATCCCAAAACAATGAGAGGTCCTTCTACACCCTCTAACCACGAGTGACTATGTTATCTAACTATAAGTTGCTGTGTTTCTTTTTGATGACAAATTGTTAATCACAAAGTTGAGAATTTTGAACAGTGGAGCAAGAAACTTTTGGGGCAGCAACCTCACAATGAATAAAGTTTTGGCAAAGATCTGTAGCTCGGGTTGTGGGTGAGGTTGTTGACTTGCTTGCCGAGCTGGCTTGTTTTTGTTCAGACGTTTTGTCACCATGCTAGCTGACATCATCAGTGGAATGTCTGGTGAAGCGATGTTATTCTACTCCACTTGGAATTTATACTGTCTGGTCCATTATGGTGAATACTGTCATTTCTGGTTTTGATATATATGGGTTTATATATGGGGTCCAATTCTATGTGTTTGTTGATTGACATGCAAAATGAATGTGGTTTACAAAATACCACACAACAACTGCCACAAACATTACACTGGACAGACAGGAAAGATACTAGCCATCAGAATACACGAACATCAACTAGCAGCAAAACGGCACGATGACCTCTCCTTAATATCTGTACATTCAGACAATGAAGGCCATCAGTTTAACTGGGACAAAGTAACCTAGTAAACCAAGCCAAACATAGACATGCACAGGAATTCCTAGAGACATGTTTCTCCACCCATACTTCAATCAACAAACATATAGAATTGGACCCCATACATAAACCCATATAGCTCAAAACCGGAAATGACAGTACTCACCATAATGGACCGGACAGTATAAATTGCTTTATCAGAGGCTCCACTGATGATGTCACCTAGCATGGTGAAAAAACGTCTGAACAAAAACAAGCCAGCTCGGCGAGCAAGTCAACAACCTCACTCACAATGAATTTTTGAGCAGGGGTTTCCTAAAACAATGGGAAACCAACATTTTTATAAGAATAATTTGTGTATACAATGCAGGGAAAACTGTAACTTGTAGATCCTGTGCTTTAGACATGACCCAACCAAAGGCACCTGATTCATACTGCTGACTATCAAGCTGTGGTTAGATTAAATGGATGTCTGCATATATGTTTAAGCAGTCACAGACATATTGCTGTTCAGTGGTATCCCAATAATGTACATCACTGAGTCATCCCAAATAAATAGAAAATTGCATAAACTTTAATGTGCTATGACACTGGATCTCACTAGACATCATATAACTTGTGAACCTGAGTAGACATAATGCCCTTTTATCTTCATTCATTGTGTGTACTGTAATGGCTATTGCTGTATAAATGTAACATTGACCTAGAAAATAACAGGATATTGCAGCTTCCAATAGATTCTCAGCAATCTTCTACATGATTACGTTATTTGGAAACTTTGTTTTTCAGGCTAACTGCCCATAATCTTCAGAAATTAACAGGCAATGACAAATAGCTATTTCGTTCATCAATTTATTTCCTTCCTTAGACCATACATAATCTACACAG